CGCCGCGCGGGGCTGGGGGCGGGGGCGCGGGAGGAGCGGCTTACCGTAAAGTCTCAAGCAAAGGCGCAGGAACCCAGAGGCAAGAGCTTCTGAGCCACGCCAGCCCTGGAGAAAGGGCTGCCCTGCTAATGTGGCACACAGCCCCCGCCTTCCCCAGCTGCCCACGCCCAGCCAAGCTTGCCACCCTCAACTAGGTTAGCAGCCTCCCAAGGTGTTAGGTTCTAATCGGATTCTCCATTAACGAGAACAACCCTCTCCTCACCTTTTCCCACCCCATCCTAGTACCTGAAGGCTCCAAGAGTGACCTGGGAAGATATACACTAGTGAGGCAGCTGGTGAGGCCCGCCTGCTCTTGTGGCAGCTCCATCCTGGGCCGATAATGAAGACGGCTTTTGAGCTTACAAAGGACAATAAATTATTACTTTGCGCTCAATAAATGCCAGGGCTCCAGGCAGCTGCATCAGCAGCAAACTGTGCTCACAGAAAAGCTTAATTATCCTGATATTATAGTTAAAAGGCAGTGGCACTTGTGTCCTGGGGAGACATTCTCCACTTGGTAGGAGGCAACCGGGTCAAGCTGTGGGGTGCTGAAGGCAGCACCCTCGGTCCCCATGCAGTCCTGGATTTCCATATCCCACTTCCTCTATCCCCTCTGTGGAACCAGAACAGCCACAGTGACACAGATCTTTTATGTCAGTACAAGCTCAGGTCTCGGAACTGATGGAGAAAATGAGGCAAGCATGAGTATCAGGGGTCTTGATGGCTGTTTTAGTTTTACATTTTCATTTAATTGCTTTTTTTTTTTTTTCAGTGCTAGGAACCAGGGCCTCCCTAATGATCTTATTCTTGGAAAAAAAAAAAAACAGGTGGTCTACCACTGAACTATACCTCCAGCCCACCAGGATTGGTTCAGATGGAGGGAAACTTGAAGGAGGGGCAGTAACCAAAAGGCTATACCATTCAAAAATATGGAAAAATAAGATTCTATGACTGTTTTGATTTGAGGAGCCCCAATAAGCCATAGGCCAACAACAGGCTAGCCATAATTGTACAGAACTTGAGCCTGTTACCTAGACCCAAGGGACTGTGTTTAGGCTTGCTAGAGGAGCTTCAGTGAACTCAATAGGACACAGCCATGCGGCTGATATGGATATCTGTAGGGGAACACAATCATTTGCCCATTGCATTTCCTCCATCTCATCCTGGAAGAAGGTGACTTCTCACCTAAGTTTCATTCCTCAGAGAGTCTTTTGACCCTTGCAGTCTCCCAGATCTGCTCCTTTGATTCTCTGTAGATCCTTTTGTGGGCTCTGGGGAGCCACTTTGCCTGTTGTAGAAAATCCCAGGCAGCAGGCAGCCTGTGGAATTATCTGGGGAAGATTCTGGGAGAGGATTTTTGGACAGTTGTTTGGAGAATCGAAGAAAAAGGAGAGAACGGCAGAAAGCTGGGAGGAAGGAGGCCTTTGATGAAAGGGATCCGATGTGAGGAGAAGCCAAGAGGGAGGAGGGGTGGAGGGGAGGGAGAACAAGGATTGCCAACAGAATCGGGGAGCAGGCACTGCCTGGCAAATGTCGTGAGATTGCCTTTCTTCCTTGCATTTCTGAGCACTTCCCACACCCCTGGGTCTCTCAGGACTACAAGGCTCTGGGAGAAGGGGGCGAGCCATAATGCAGGTTGAACTCTATACATCAGGAAGGTTCCCAGTGACTTAAAGGCTGCTGGTGGTCTCACTCAATTGTCCTACCTGTGGGGCTCTGGATGGGCTGGGCACTACCTACAAGAAGGAAGACAAGCAAGCTCTCTGGGAATCTGCAACAGGACCTTCCTGATTGCCTGAGCATTCAAGAGGGGACCATTGGGGACTACAGTCCCAGAATACAGCACTCTGCCCTGATCCCAGAGGATGGGTTTGTACCGCATGGTTGGAATAATAGCAAAGCTTGCTGTCACTGTTTGCTACAGATATGGTAAACATGGCTTCTGTGGAATGGGTTCCCAGCAAGGCTGAGGCAGAGCCTGGACCAAGCTAGGAAGCCGTAGAATTTTTGGTAAGTATCTTTTCTCAGGCCTTTCAAAGGGCCCATTCTTCCTAGACCTTGGCATTACCTGTAACCAAGGACAATAAAATACCCAAGGGGACAGCCACCCATATTCAAGGCTTACAGTCTAAGAGTTTACTCAATTCTATACACATTGGAGAGTGACATTGGCCAGTGAGATGGCTGGGTGGATAAAAGGCATTTGCTATCAAGCCTGGTGACTAGAATTTTATTCCTGGGACATACATGGTGGAAGGAGAGAACCAATTCTCTGGCTTCTGTACACACACACACACACACACAAACCGAGAGAGAGAGAGAGAGAGAGAGAGCGAGAGAGAGAGAGAGAGAGAGAGAGCGAGAGAGAGAGAGAGAGAGAGAGAGCGAGAGAGAGAGAGAGAGAGAGAGAGAGAGAGAGAGAGAGAGACCTGCATGGGTGACCTGCAAGGCCCTTTTTACCATGCCTAGCTCTAGCTCTTTGCGCAGAGGATCCTGATTTTTCCCCGTGTAATTTTTCACTTGGTGAATGCATGGCCTGCATGCCCTTTACTCAAACTTAGCCCAGTGTCCAGCACATCCTAGATGTTCAGTGAATGCTGTGAATAAATGGGGATGTTCAAAGCCTAAGGCAGGTCTTGGATGCCGCACGAGAAGAGGGTATGACTTTCATTCAGTGAGGGCTTCACACAGCAATTCAACCACGTTGAACTGCCTTATGTTTCAGTGAATGGAGGAGGGGGGAGGACCCCCAATGGAAGGAGGACAGAGTGGGGGTGTGGCTTATGAAGCAGTCAACATGATGGAAACTGCCAGATAGCTGAGGTCAGTTGGGAGACTGGTTCCACAAAGCTGAGCTCCCATAGGAAAGTGTGAGGAAGGGCTGGAGTCATCTGTGGCTAGGCTGTAGGAGGCTTTTTGGTCCTCTGAGTGACAGGTCATCCTTGGTGGCTGCTTTGAAGGAGTTACTTAAGTTATGAAGGTATACAAACTAAAACCTATCAGTCTGGCATCATTTGGATGGGTTTTGGGAAGAATGGTACTTCACTGCTAACCCAGGAGGAAGGTTAGGGTTGAAAGCCAGTGGCTCCTAGTCACTGTCCAGACAGGAATGGATCTCTAACCACGTCCCTGGGGAAGCCAGCCTCACTTCTCCAATTCTAAACACTCTGTCAGCTCATGGAGTCACAGGCACATTGGTGACTTATTTTGAAGTCTCTGCTGGGATGGACTTCCTTTCTGAGTGATAAAACATTCCAAATCCACTCTTCTCTGAGGCAGCTTTCAAATCAGAGCATCCTGCCGGGTGTTGATGGGGCACGCCTTTAATCCCAGCACTTGGGAGGCAGAGGCAGGTGGGTCTCTGTGAGTTCGAGACCAGCCTGGTCTACAAGAACTAGTTCCAGGACAGGCTCCAAAGTCACAGAGAAACCCTGTCTCAAAAAACAAACAAAAACAACAACAAAATCAGAGCATCCAACGGGTTTAAGGTTTAGGGGGGCAGGGGAAGGGGCCTGCCACTTCATCTCAGGGACTGTAGGGGCACAGCTTTCTGTTCACTGCCACCATCTTCTTGGAGTAAGTCCCCAGACTCAATGGTTTCTAGTGTGGCCAAGGATGTCAGGCCTGGTTTCCTGGGTTACCCAAAGTCAGTCAGCCGAGGGTCCTGGCTCTGAGCATTCGCCCCCACTCCTGGAATGGGACCAGATGGCTGTGGCAAGAGCCTAGGGTGCACTGACACATCAGCAGAGGTGGTTTGATGTGAACTACTTTCCATCTCCAAACCCAAGCCTCTAGCCTGCCCACCACCCCCAGCCGAGGCCTTTGATCCTCCACAGCTCCATAAATGTTTAATGCCACTAGCTGGGCAGAAATGAAGCAGGTGCTGGAACATGCAGACTGGAGATAGGACTTGAGATCCATCCTGTTGGCTAAATTATTTGCACATAGGAGTCCTGGGATGGGTGGGAGGAGGCCCTCCCCCGCCATGTGGAGGGAGAAGTCCCGGGGTTCAAGTTTGTGGCACTAATAAATGAAGCTCTTTGAAAATCACGATGGGGCTGAAACTAAAATGAAGAATCAACTTTAGAAGCCCAATTTGATTGAAGGAGAAAGATAGAAAGTTAAATGACAATCAAATGCAAATACAGCTCAACAAACACCACAGCAATTACCAGGCTCAGGAAACACATGGCTTTTGCAGGCAGCAGGGGTTGGCAATTTGGAAGCCTGGGCCTGTGCAGAGGTGACGGGCATGGGGCTATTTTAATGGACAGTTAAATAGATGCAAAAACCTTGCATCTAGTTTGCATACATGCTGATGAGTGGGGAACTGGGACCCAGGGAGGTTATGCTACCTTCACAGCTGTCTGTGGGTTGTTTTAGATGGGAAGGGGCCCTGAGTGCTTGGGAGGCAAAGCTAATTTGAATGCCTGGCCAGTCTCTTTGGTCCTATGAAGAAGCTGGTACTGAGGTGTGAGGATTGAAGTTGAAGAGAGCCCATGGGGTCCTCCAAGAAAGGGCTCCAGGCACTAGCCTTCCAACAACCCAGAGGTTCTGGTAAGAGTGGCCTTCTCCTCCGTATTTGCATAATGCTTTGCATCTCATTTGAATGCTATTAATTTGGTGTCAGGCTAGGTTGGCAC